TTTTTGGGTTTTGTTATTTTTTAAGTTTTTTTATATAATTCTACTGATTTTTTGGACATTTCCTAAAAATTAAGAAAGCAAGGAAAATTTAATTAAGTCGAATTCAGACATTGAAGCCACAAAATTGTTGGTTCGTGGTGCTGCATCCGGTGCAGTATGCGCCACATTGTAAGACTAAATGTGGGAGGAAACATTGTCCATGTAGAAAAGTAGGAGTGGCATGCTCAACAAAATGTCATGTTAAACAACTTGAGTGTCTGAATTCGACTTAATTAAAATTTTGCTTGCTTTCTTACTTTTAAGAAATGTCCAAAAAAAAACGCAGAATTATATCAAAAACAATTATAAGAGTTGAAATTTACAAAAATATGCATATCTTCACTTCACAAAGTACCTTATAAAAAGTATTTTTTTATATTCATATTTCTTCAGCAAAATATAAATGTGGAAAAATTCAAAAAAAAATTATAAAATAACAAAACCCAAAAAAGCTTCAAAAATGTTTCGTTATTGTGTCTGCGTATAATATATTTTTTCTAAACACATTTCTAATTTCGACTAGCCTAATCCCAAATCAATACAAGTTAACTTATAATTCTATATCTCATAATAGACAATTTCTAGCTAAAATTTATAGTTTTTGCCTAGTGAAACCTTAAATTTTAATTTTAGCTTGAGAATGCTAGTCAGATTCTAAATTTAGCTGAACAATCTCAGCCAAACTTGAAATTTTAACCTTGGCTAGCCGAATTTAAAATTTGATTAGCCAAAATTAAAATCAACAATCTAATTTTAATTTTGGCTGAGAATCGTCAACCAAATTTAAAATTAGACTGAATTTTAAGTTTGGCTACAACATATTCACCTTTTCTTTTGTCTCGTTCGTTTTTCTTCATGTTATATAATTATCGCGTTTTCCGTCTAGGGTAATTTTTCTTCTGGTAGTGAGGGAACGTGTAAGTGTGTTGTGGGTGTACGTCAGGTGCAGAGACACCATGTTTGCGCCTTGTTATTTTTGATTTTTTTGATATATATTATTATTCACACAGACACTTTGTTTTCTTATTATTTTTGTCAGCCACTACTCATGAACCCGGACATCGAATTGAACATCATCAACCCCGTTACTTAATAGTGGTTGTTGACACGACCTGTTGACCGATGCTGACGTAGGAAAGCACTGGTATCATTAAGAGGTATAATCGGTCCTGTACTGGAATGATTTTAATTCATATCTCAGAAGAGAGAGCTGCGTCTGGCAAACGTTTCTGTATTCTCGGAATTTAAAAATAGTTTATTTTGCAGGAAAAAACCGCTGTTTACTCACGAATTTCATGTCGTGAGCTAAATTGGGCTCGTATTTTGCATATTTTTTGTTTTTCTTCAAAACTAATATCAGATTCGTGATCTTCGTCAAAAAGTGCATCGAACAGTGTATAACTTGGGATATTTTGACCGAAAAAACAGTTTTGAAAATCCCTTGTGGAAATCCCAGGCAAAAAATTAAGATTTTTTCCGTGGTGTACCCACAGATGTAAAAAAATTTTTTTGGGCTCAAAATATCCCAAGTTATACACTGTTCGATGCACTTTTTGACGGAGATCACGAATTTGATATTGATTTTGAGGGAAAATGAACTTAAAAATAAAAATTGCAGAATACGAGCTTAATTTAGGTCAAGTGTTGGGAATAAACAGCGATTTTTTCCCTAAAAACTATTTGAAATTCCAAGACGACAAAAATGTTTGCCAAAAGTAGCTCTAACTTTTGGTACAGTGAACAAACTGATTCTATCAAAGAGTCGATTTTGCCTCTTAGTCTTTCCTTTGTCGGTATCAATCGACAGGCCGATAGAGTAAGTCACTTTTCAGCACTAGCCCCGTTTTTTTTTTTCGATCTCCATATACCATTTTATAACGAATGACCAGCTCTATTAAAACTGCATCAATATTCGTGGGTAATGACAACTTAATAGGCAAAAGAACCGAAGTACGAGCAAAATCAAAGATTTTCATAGAACCCATTTTGTTCGTGCTTTAATGATTTTGTTCGAATGAATGATCTATGAGATCAGTCAAATAGGCCATTTTGTTACTAGTCAATTTACCTTTCAATATTTTTTGCGGGTTTTGAGTTTAATAAGCTTACATTTGTAAGAAATCGATAAAGTCAAAAATTAGAAATCTGACTCTGTCAGATCATGCAGAATTGTGTTCTCTTTCGTTTGAAACCATCCCGACCTCTCCACGACTTACCACAAAAATAAATTCTTGCAAATAGTGGAAGGTCCCATTTTGACCCATGTTTTACCCATATTTTGAACGATGAGATGGGGAGATCGAATTTTTTTGCGATGGTTCACTTTATGGGATCCATATTTGCTAAAAGTTTCATCAAAATTGGACGTAAATAAAAAAATATTTTTCTGTGGTGGGCGGTGCAGGGGGGAGTCTTAAGCAACCGTTTTGTCGTACATCTTCTATTTTATTTGACAATACTGAAAACGGTCCGATTTTAATTATTAGTTCATTCCGTATTAACACCCCCAGAGATTTGTTCAAATGCCCAATGGCACGCAAACGGACAGACGGTCGCTGGTGGTCGTGGGTACGGAGACGGATTATTTCAATTTTCAGATCCTAAAATGATATTCGTTGATGATTTCCAAAATATATTCATAGCTGACTATTACAACCAGCGAATAATAAAATTTGAGCCTGGTACTGTCTTAAATGAAATTGTCGCCGGCGGAAAAGGAATAGGAAACGCGACGAATCTTGTATTATTCATTTATTTTGTGTAATCAACCATTTACTCTTTTAGTTTTTCTGCTTAGTGATGTTGTCATTTCTTGAATATTCTATCAACTCAACTTTCCAACGGTGGTTGTTGTAGACAAAGCAAATACGACATTCGTTTCGGACAATCAAAATAATCGAATTCAGAAATTTCGGGACGGCCAAACTGAGGGAGAGACAATTATCGGACAACATGGATCAGGCTCGGATCTCAATCAATTTAAACAATGTTGGGGATTGTTTATTGATTGGAGCGGAAATATTTACTTGTCGGACAGGGACAACAGCAGAGTTATGAAATGGAGAGAAGGAGAGAACGAGGGCATCCTTGTCGCTGGTGGAAATGGCGTTGGAAATGAAGCAAATCAATTTGACCGACCAGGCGATATTTTTGTTATTGATACCAACAACGGGACGAGACGACAAATTTTTGTTGTAGATAGCAATAATCACCGTATTCAAAAATGGGACGAGGGTAACTTGCAGTCTGGAATAACAGTAGCTGGAGGAAGTGGTCAAGGATCTAATTTAAATCAATTAGCTTTTCCAACAGGAGTGTTGGTCGACGCTCAACTGAACGTTTATGTCTGTGATTCGCAAAACAATCGAATAATAATGTGGCCAAAGAGAGCTCGCAGCGGTAGAATTATTATAGGAACCGGTATACCAGGTTGGGCGGCACACGAGCTATACTATCCGACTAGTTTTCAATTTGATCTACACGGAAATTTGTACGTGGCAATGGCAAACGCTACTTTTAATAGTCGAGTACAGAAATTTTCAATTTATATCAGTGGTTGTAAAAGCAATGAAAGTGAGTGATGAATGTTTATGGTGCTAAGGCGACTTTTGATTTTCTAAATTTTCTAGCAAATGAGAATGAACAAAAACAGTTGAAGTGTGATTTTGAGACACCGGTTTGTCAGGATTTTCTGATCGATCCAAACTGGTCTTTGGCAACTGGCGGTGAATACGATCACACATTTGGAAACGAGAGTGGTCATTATCTCGTTTACGTACCTCCGACGTTAACATCCGACGCAGTGACAAAAATCTCGACAAGCTCAGTGGTCAATCCGTCAGGAGACATTAGAATGTGTTTTCAGTTTTGGTATTCCACTTCAGGATTGGTCGCATTTAACGTTGATCTTGTTAGAGGCGACGATCCCGGTCAGCAGTTGAAAAATACAATAACCACAATTAACGAATTTATTTACAAGAATTGGACACAATTATCGATCCCGCTGCCGAATGAAATATTCAAAATTGAAATAGTCGTTAACGCCTCGACTGGCCAACGAGAGTTACTGTTTGACGATCTATCCGTCGATTATTGTGCTGGTCTGGAGCCTCTTGCCGCACAAGTTGTCTTGCTTCAATATCACTTTGAGATCAACAACGAACAAATTCAAATAAGCTATTTTCCAGAATATCCCTACCAATGGTCAGTGGTGCGTGCATCGGACGCTCACCAACAAAATTCGGATGCACCCGGAACTGATTTTACACTGGGAACCGGTGATGGTCACTACTATTGGATAAATTCGACTCGAATTGAGGGCGGGGTTGGATATTTTGGTACATTTCTTTTAGATTTTTCATTAGACGACCCATCTTATTGTTTGCACTTTCGCTATTTTCAATACGGGAATTTGGGAAATACCACAGCCAATCTTAAAATATTTACTATGGATAAGGATACTTTCACACTGAGACTACTCTGGCCCCATCCGTCGATCAGAAATTCGTGAGTCACTCTTTTAAGAGTAGCAACCTGCTCTTTTAAACTATTGCTCTCTGGTTTCGTTCTAGATTAGCCGCTCACAAATGGTAAGTAGATTTATTTTCAGTTTAACCGTATGGGTGTCGAGCTCTCTCTCTTACTCTCTTTGACCTGACGTGTGGCATTAATTAAATGTTTACGATCTGTAGTTGTAACCCACACAGTGTGAACGAAATCCTATAAAACAGTGCAAATGATCAAAATAATGTAGTTTAATAAAAAAGGAAATTCTGTTTTATTGGCCTCGCTGTTGAATTTCTGCAACAAATCGAGCTATTAATGTAGAACTATAACAGATTATCGACGTGTGCCTTGTTACTATGTGTTGTTCGCATCGCATGCGACGTTCTGCGTTTTCAATTCTGTTCAACTCAAATGATGGAAGAACGAGTCCCGATTTCTATGCTTTGTTTATCATTTTTGTTAAAATCTCTGTAGATTACTCTGATTTTTAACTCATGTTTCTACCGCAGCGCTTTCATCTTCTTATTGCTCATCGACAGAGGGAAAAGTAATCGTTCTTTTTTTCCGAGATTCGTTTTCCAGTTTCTAAACAACAGAGCAACATCGAATAACAAAAAAATGGAACCAAATGAAAATTATCGAGTAAGGCGACGACGACAACACTGCTTATTTTTGGGAAAACGTGCATGCGAAAAATAAAAATTAAAAAACACTTGCCCAATTGTGATTAAAAGTAGACAAAATTGATAAAATCGGTAAAATTGGAATATATCACCAATGAAGCAGAATATAAGGAAAAATATGTAACTTTTCTTCCGGCCTTACGAGGAGTAAAATGAAATAAAAGGATCGACGAAATATTCAAGCTAGCGAAAGTTGAAGCTTTTGTCAGGTTCTCTGATCAATATTTTAGACCTTGGTCAAGATCTAAAATTTGTCTGACTATATTATATTTGAACGCTGTTAGATTCATGTTTCTACGTTTAGTTGTACACTGGCATCGGATTCGTCCTATTTTTTCGATTTTCTTTGACCAAGGAAATTAGAAAAAATAAGAAATGTTGGTAAAATAGGAAAAATTAGAATATAGGACGGATCTGATGCCAGGTTGTACATGCTGAACTAAAAATCGCGTTTCGAGCTTTTTAAACATCGGGAACGACCAAAAAAATAATTCTATTAAAAATTCCACGTTTTTTTGAGATTTCACATCTTTGGATTTCACATCTTTGGAGTTTTTTCAAATTCTTCTCTATAAAAAGGTGTTTTATAAGACCGAGATAGACATATTCTCACTCAGCTCAATGAGCTCTATCGGACCATGTACGAACGTCTCAAAAAAATTTTGCTGCGTTTTTGAATTGTGCACACCTTATAACTTGTTGGCTTTTGAAGCAAAAAACGTTTCGACAAAAATTGAGACCTAGTCAGCGGTTTTCCAAGCCGAAGTCAAGTCATTTAAAAAGATTTCAAATCAAGTCAAGTTGAGTCATAAGTCATATTTTTTTTCGCAAGTCAAGTCAAAAATCATTTGCCTTGACTTGACTTGATTGGAAAAACGCCCACTGTAGAACAAGGACCAAACAGGCTCATGTCTAATATGAATCAGTAGCGCATTTTACTAAGTGCGATTATTTTTTTATATTCTCTTATTTTTTTTCCTATTCATTTTAGGTCCTGGGGTGTGACCAATTTGCTATTAGGTCAGTATTATGTCTTGTTTCGTGTTGACAATTCAAATCTTTCATCTGGATGGTTTGCGATCGACGAAATTAAAGTATCTTCGTGTGAAAATCCGAAGGCAGAGGTGTCGGACGAAGCAACAATGACAAGTGTCCTAGTTTTTGAATGCTATTTTTCGAATAGTTTTTTTCGATGTGAGATGGAAAATGACGAATTTAACAGTTACAATTTCTCGGTTCACACGGGGGAGACAATTCCCGACAAAGAGATGGGTCCCTTAGTCGATCACACATCAGGCACCTCATCGGGAAGTTTCATTTATTGGGATTTCGATCCGAAAATTTTAACAAACAGAATCAATATTCATGATATAATTCAAACGTTGGCTGTCGAACTAAATTCGGGAATGTGTTTAAGATTTTCATTCTACTTAAAAACATCGATCATTGATGATCGATCAGCTGAAATTACTCTCTCCGTATCCGGCGACAGTCAGTGTTTTGAGAACATTTTGTGGTCACGAACATTCTCGGGAACAAACAGTAGCAGTCGAGGTTGGGAAACGGTGAATCTCGCACTGGCGCCAATCGTTTGCACGTCGAAATTTCAATTTCATATAAATCAAAGTCAGGAAACACCTAGACCAATCTCGGTCTCATTTGCACTTGATGACATTCTCATTAACCAATGTTCGAAGCTTCCGTCGCTAGTTGCGGACACATCGACCACGTTGCTACTTTCGGACACATCAACGACGTTGCTCAGCTCAGGCAGTTCAGAAATCACAACGGTAAGAAAGTTCAGCTGTAATATTATTGTTCATGAGATTGTATCGTGCATTCTCTGTTCAGCCAACATTTATCAGCACAAGCACAAACACGGCTAGAACTACGACAGCTTCTCTTGAGATCACGAAATGCCCGCGTGAGTATCCTCGTCTCAATTTGAAATGTTTAATTATGTTCTTTCCTTCTCCAAATTTTTAGCACACAGTTCACAAGGGAAAATAATCGGAATTACGGCGGTAGTTTCTGCCCTTACTACCGCGACAATTATTATCGGTGGATTTGGTCTCTCCAACTACTTTCATGTTCGTAAACAATCACGGCAGATGGGAAAAGAAAAACAAATTCCACTGACAAATATCGCATTCAAAAATTAGGATCAACAGTTTCGGATTTTTTTGAACATTTTCTGAATTCTGAGAGAGGAAACATTAAACTGCAGCTGGAAAAACCCTTGTTTTTGTAGAAATAAGAAAAGCACATTACGTGATTTCAAGAAAAGACAGCCTTTTTTTAAGAAAGGTCCGAATTGCTATTAAGAGAAGATCTATGGGTCTACCAGAAACTCAAGGCACTGGTCAAAATTTAATTTCTGATTTAATATTCGTATCAGAATCAGCGATGCCTCAAGAGCGTAAAAACGGGTAAAAAGACGGGGTCCGAAAACTAAAAAAACGGCCAGTAATATTTCTCATTAGACGGGTCCGCCTCCCATTTGCCACGGGGTGACGGGGTCTGAACGGTTCAAAAATACGGGTATCCCGTATAACTACACGTTCTGCATCGAAGAAATACGGGATCATGAAAAATGATTTCTTAGACCTTCGAAGCGTCGTGTGGTTACCTGTTCTACTCTTAGACGCCTTGACATGTAAAATTAACTTTTGTGTATGTTCCACCCTAGGCAATCATTTTCTGCTCGAAAAACACGTATACCATTTTTGTGGTAGAAACGCGTTAAATTTTTAAATTTGAAAAAATTTAAAAATTAAACTCAAAATCGAGCTGATGTATACAGAGAGTCTCCATGCTCTCACACGGCCGTCCACGACTGTCTTAAAGGCAAGGTTCACAAGTTAAGGAAGAAAGAAACTAAAATAACTTACTCTGCTGTGACGATGATTCGAACGTGAGTACCTAGAATTAAGAAGCAAGCATAGAACAGGTTGAGCTAAAGATGATCTGTATCATCTGTAATTCGAGCATCGATAGCTTATTGAAGAAGACTTATTCTTTTTTGTTTGCTTGCTTTTTAATTCTAGGACCCGAGCAACTGCTTATTACTCTTGTCTGCAGAGATCTTTCATTTTGCTCAGAGTAAAATAGCTTTTTATTTCCAGTAATAGTGACTGGAAGGCTCGAATGAAAGTAATTTTTGAGTTTCGTTGTTCTATCACCTGTAGGTTCAGTTCGAAAATTGAAGAACTTCTGCGAAACTTCGAACCCAGTTGAGTTTTTATTATTCGACGTTGTTCGAGTTCCGTATTGATGCAGATTCATTTTTTCAAACTTTCATCCAAGAGCTATTTATTATCCATATTTTGTATTTGAATGTTATTGTTGAGAGCAACACCTGAGTCTGAGTAAGTTTTTCGTGCGAATCACTGTGTCTTTGGTAAAAAAGCTTTGCATCTAATCCAGATCGAAAATGCATAGAAACTGAAACGTTTCGTCTTACGACATTCCCGACTGTGAAACATACACAAAAGTTAATTTTGCATCCCAAGGCATCTAAGAGTAGAACAGGTAACGACGCGGCGTTTCGAAGGCATAAGAAATCATTTTTCATGATCCCGTATTTGTTCGATGCAGAACGTATAGTGGTACGGGACGTAAGTGAACGGCTAAAAGTACGCCTCGTACTCTTTCACAAGGGGACGAGTAGAATGTAAATGAATCAGCCTAAGTACGGGATCTGGACCCCGTATAAAGTTTTGATACGGGGTCAGAACGCTCGTTCTAAAAATTTTTTAAGCTCTTGGGATGCCTAAAATTAGTAAAATCACCAAAATCGGCCAGATATTTTTCGGTTTTTATTTTTTTTCACTTGCAAGTTAAAATGATTTAAATATGAGCTTAAAATGGTATCATATTTGAGTCATTTTAAGACCATTTCATAAAATGAGATAAAAATGATGTATATATGATATAATTTGTAAAAACGATCGAAATATGATCGTATTATGATCATCCAAAAATGATCTATTTATGTATCATTTTTCTATCATATCTCTAGGATCGTAGATGTGACATTTATGTGTCATTTTTACATCATTTTTAACTTCTGATCTAAAATGATCATTTTCTTACAATTGTATTTGTCATATTTTATGATCATAATTAGATCATATCATTTATTTGTATTAGATTAGTCATTTATGAGATATTATGACACAAACGTAAGTAGCAGTTTTTATGGAATTATGCGCATTTATCTTCTACCGCTTTCCACAAACTATACAGAGTTGAGCCCAGAGACTAAAAGATAGTGAACTTAATTTCTAATATTTCTGACGATTGGAAATTTTGAGCAGTCAGATGAGCTGCTGCGGACGAAAATAGGCAGTAGTCGCGTCGTCTGTTTACATCGATCAATGTTTTTTCTGTCTGGTAGCGTATGATATCTGATTGTTTGTACAATTCCTTGCTGTGGCCTTCCTTGCTTTAATCGGTGATTTGTGATGACTATTTATTACCTTCTAGTTCAAAATTTTTTTTGCTTCCGTTAATCCTTTTCACTTTCTCACGTCATATTAATTACTTATACTATCTGCGTCTGATACCATTGGCTAAGCAAAATGTTATAAATTTTCGCTTCTAGCTGATATTCAACATATTTATAAGAAAATGGAAATACAGGATGAATTTTTGTTTCTTTCAATGAAAATATTTTATGTGAATTACTTTTCTTCTCTACAATTATTTCACTTATTTACTATACTAAGTTCAACAACAAAATCGAAATCTGACCAGTTCTGAGACGGTCAGTAACAGTTTAGGTAAATAGTCATGATGATGAAAATATATTTTTTTGAACGTGAATTGTACATTAGTCCATCTGTTGGAAATTCTTTGTGTGCAAAAAAGAAAGAAGAGATCCATTACGACTTTGTATGTTCAAAAAAATAAGCCATTTATTGTTATCAAACAAAGAAAAGGCAGACTATCTTCGTAGAAAAGCGAAAAAATTGAAGTTAATCAGGCCTGTTTACAATACGATCAATCTTGATCTTTTTGTAATCGATAAAAACTACTAACTAACTTTAGCGTAAAGAGATCTCCGTTCGAAAAAGCGGTAAATTCTAAAAATTCATGCTTTAAGTTTGAATCAAGGCTGACTGCTGTTTGACCTATCACAATTCAATGTATAGTACGCAACTTTTCTTCGTTAGTTCTCATATATTTTCTTTCGAGAGAAGCTTACGACATTTAAAGCAATTATACTCACATATGGCGTTAGCGTTTATACAGTCAACTATCAATCTTTCTGCTGCTATCACACAAACATTCGGAACGAGTACTGTATTCATATTTCTAAATCTATGTACTTGTATGGTTTTTTTCAAATATGTCTTAAATATTGATCTTTTCGTAAGATTGCGAATGAAAGACGTGGAGTCGCAGCCAGTAAGAGCGTGTAAATTAATTATTACTCTTGGATCAGAATGGTACAAATCGTTGAAATTTTTTGCGATTAATGAACAATTTATTATTTCTGGATCTCATTTACGTGATGTGCAACTATGGACATGCAATTTTAGCGAATATTGGGATGCATATGCAATTGATAGTATGGTAACGTCTGTATCTGTAGGACTAATGACTACTTTTTGAATATCTGGTTGTTGACAAGTATCATTCAAACGCAGAAACATGCGTGTATCTGGTTCAGTTTGATTCGAATTCAATAATATATATGGTACGGCTGTATCCTTTCCACGATTTCCGACAATTAACTTTTGAAATTCTTCGCCAGCATCTAGTATAGAATTCTCATTTCAAATATATTCAGATCTCTTTATATTAGAGCCATGATGTTCAATGAATGATTTAATAACCTTAGATCTTCTAGAATCAAAAACTACATCTATACGAATATAATCATTAAAATACTGATAGTATGGCCAACGGCAAAAAGTGCTTCCTTTCATGCACTTTTAAGGTTTTTTGGGGGGCAAGATTTCGCGAGCCCAGAGATATCGCAAAAAAATCTCAATCAATAATTATCCATTCAAAATAAATTTGAGCATCGGCAATTCAAAATGCACTTAGGTCATATTTAGACTACACTAGCGATTTAAATAGATGTAGAGTCTGTGCATCTATTCAAATCACTAATGCAGTCTAAGAGCATTTTGAATTGCCGATGCTCAAATTTATTTTGAATGGATAATTATTGATTCCGATTTTTTTGCGATATCTCTGGGCTCGCGAAATCTTGCCCCAAAAAACCACTTAATGGATGACGTTATTCAGCCCTTGGCCGTATAATCATACTCTTTCGTTAAGCAATCTAATAACTGTTCTGTTATGTCTAGGTTACACGGGATAACCTCGACATAAGGAACTATTCTGTCTTTCTTTTCTGCTATACATTTTTATACATCAGGCAGAAGAGATTATTTATTCTTTTTTACTTTCTGTTATATCTTGACCCTCAACCACCTTACATCATCCTTATTCATATTTTTTTCTCGAAACTAGAAAATACCCTATATATATATACTTTCATCATTTTCTAGTTCCTGTGTGTGTTTATAAACATGAAAGTGTGAACAGTAAAATATCTGTGTATCCTATCTTCTTTTCAATTATCACCTTTTAGAATAAAATTTATAAAACGTTACAGAACATCGGATATCTGATTTTGAACACAGAGAATCTTCAAGGAGATTAGGGAAAGACAGTTTGGATGTTCAGAATAATTCATAACTGTTTTTCTTGCTATTTTCAGAGGTTGTTGCTGCAATAACATACCACCATCGATAATCAATACAGATTCATCTGCTTTTGATAGTACAATTGATGAAGTAAAGGCATTTGGAAATGTGTCTTGTGTATTAAAAGCTTCGTATTTTCGTAGAACCTTAAGGACAGTATCAAATGAAAGCGCGCAGCAGAATCTTTACGTTGTAATAAATAATATTCTTGTAAAGGCACTGAAAGCTGCGATACAAATCTCACAAATGCTCAGTATCTCGGGCTAGACGTGTTAGTCGACAAAATGGACGACGACGACGTGAAAAACTTCTCTTGATCGGTGGCGTCAGCGTCGTGATCTCTCAGACTTTTCCTGCTTCGGCGGCAGCTACGTGAGCTTTTTCCATCTTTTCGCAAAAACTTTGTGTATTTTTTAAGTTTTTTCCGACCTGATTGCGGCGTCAACGCTTTAACCTAGAAACGTTTTTGAGCTCTCGGCGGCGCAGCGTATCGGCTAACACATCTCTTTTTTACCATTTGCAAACTCAAAAGTCATTCAAAAAATTTTTAAGCATACTCGTAGATGGGCCAGTTAACTCCTATATGATAAAATGAGGCATCTGCTGATTTTTTGAGACGCTTTGCATACGAAGCACATCGTAAATACAAAATAAGCAATCTTTCCATCAAAGAGCAGCCCTAATACTACTAGGACTGTACACTATAAATTCATGTTTTATCGTCTCTGTATTTTTCGCTGCCGTAACTGAACGATCTTTACAGAGTAAATTCTCTGCTAGTTTAAGCAATGTTGGTAGACAAGCAGTATTCTAAGACAAGGATCTTTCATGGAAAAGTACATTTGATTAAAAACATGTTGTTCGAAAATTATTCACTATAAAAAGAAGAAATGTTGGAAAAAAGCGTAGAATGTGCGACGCAGATAAGGTTAGGGCTTAAATTACGCTTATTCTTCAAATCACCGCTTGGAGCTGCCTACCTGAAAACTAGTTAATATCAGTGCAAAAATCTGCGTCGAATGGTTTAAATCCTTACGTTCTTTACGATAAATTTTGAAATGATCGGTTTCATACATTCGAGGATCCAGACAGATCGAAACTTTCGACAATTCTCTTTCCGATGAAACAGATTTGAAACAGTTTATCGGATGGTATTCTAGAGAATGGATCTCTAGAGAACCACTTAGAAACCTTTTATACTTTTGAAACCGTTACATTCGTTAGAGCATCGTGAGAACGGACGACAAAAGAGCGTTTAGTCGATTGTAACCTTTACAGGCGCATGTCCAAGTGATTCAGGAGAATGGTCGCGGGTCCTGCTTTGATATCTCGTCGAAATCGATCGTGTTTTCGTTCGTCTTAATACATATTATACCGGTCATACACATTTTTTGCTGTATCTGGGATTTAAACAGTAAATTTTCCCTTTATTTCATTCTTCTAGGATCGCATTTTTTTCTTTTCACAGATGCTCAATGGGAAACTAGAGATGATGATATCGGTGATATTACAGACGATATTTCGATACATAATCACGGTGTTATAGCTTCCGAATAATTGTTGTCTCAGCCATCTTCGAACAGAAAAGTTGCAAGTTTCGGTTATTGGTGGTAAGTGTGATATTTCAATGCTCACTGGATTCTTTGGATCATTCATTGGCTACCACGGCCTATTCATCATTAATACACCTCCTGTAAAGGTGTCCAACCTATATGAATTAATGTATACAATATGTGTACGAAAGGATCAAGCTCCAGACTGCCTAAGCAGACAAATTGGCAATGGCAATGAAATTGGCGTCTTTATTCTACTAGTGTGAATTTTAAACTTTAGCTTATGCGTTAAAAATTCAACTTTATCAAAAGTACTGGAGTTTCAACGTTGAGAACAAATGCCACGCCCAAAACGTCATCTCGTTGCTCAGTTTGTTTGCGCATCGCAGCTCTACTTCTGTACATAATCTGTACAAAATTGACAGAAGTGTACAGAAAACAAACTGAGGAGAATCTAATGTTCCAATATGTTGGGATTGTTTGAAAACTTTTGGAGCGAGTTTTCTCGTATTAAACGTCTAGACATGTTAACCTACATACCACCTATTAAAACAGAGAAAACGGTTGGATAAATACTTTTACACACCGCTACCGACGATTTTGTCTTTCTCCGCTTTAAAAATACGCGAAAACTTCTGATTTCTGCTGATAGAAACAAAATGTCAGAACCTTTTTCTAAGAAAAGATAAAGGTTGGTTAACCTCTGCATTAGATCCATGAGATCCTATATCTTATGCGAGGCTTTCTAATCGGTATTCTGTTTTATGGGTACACGCCCTGCTTTCCTCAAGTAGACTCAGCCTTAGTGTGTTAATGTAAACCTTCTTTATTATCACACTAAATGTAGCTACAATTTCTAAGAATTATTATTCCTAATTAATTCCTGTAGCTGCCATAAAAATAGTGTCAATTTTCTCGTTTCTTAGGTAAAAGATGAAGAACAGATTTTCGATAACATATTTCTAATGCCCGGTGACTTTCATATCAAAAAGAATTAAATGATTTTGATATGGAATATTTTGGAGGGAAGTGGAATTGACAATCTACTAGGACATTTGTATCATAGAGCAAGTTTACGTGCAATTCCCAACGTTAGTCATTTTACCAAGTCGTTCAAATCAATCAAACTATTATACACGTCCGTTTCAGTCCTAATTTTAGAAGAATTCATGCTTTACTTTAAAACAGATCAATTGAATGATAGTTAACAACTTTTGTCCAACTACTCTACGAAAAACGAGAAAAAACAGACCTGGTTTGAATTATTACAAGAGAAAATCTCTTCATTGAATTTGTTACTAATATTTAAAGCTTGGTGTGAAAAATGTTCTTCAAGTTCAATTAAATCTAGATTCTGGTATTTTATTCTTTTTACTGTCTTACAACCACTTATTAAATTGTACATATCGATTAGACGTAACAATTCTGAAATGCATAATGCAGCACTATGTGCTATGGCTCCACTTTTCTTCTCATTTCGTCGACGAAATTATGCACCATTGACTTCCCGATATATTTTTGATTTACAAGTAGCATCTTCACAACTGATAGCTCATATTGCAAAATCATCTGATGTTTTCAGCGTACAGCAAGCCCGTTTTCTGCAATTGCAGTCGACCAAACCGTTGAATGCATGATAAGCAGATATGGCAAAGGCCGGGGTGAAATTAGTGGACATTCCTCTATAAAGAAAATTCTCTTTCAACATTATTCACTGAGAAAATTACACATAACGATATAGTACTAAATATCTGTAATTCCTATGAGCGTGGATATGAATTGTTGAAGATTAATAAACAAAACTGTAAATGTATATGACAAAATAGATTTCGGTAAAAAACCTTTATATTTGAAGGATAAGGGCAGATATTCTTCACCTTTACTTAAATTAATTAAGTCTCCTACTCACAATCAACTAGAAGCATACATTTACAGACGGTTCTTTCTCAAATATTACAATTTTAACGATTCAGAGATATCGATACCGTCGAAAACTGTTCCTTCGTTCGACACATCTTTTAATGATAACGACGGCATTTGACTGGTTTTATTCCTTTGTTGCTAGATGTGATATCTACGTTTTTCCATATACAAATGAATTTAGAATTAGGCGTCTGACACATTATTCTTCTATCTTTGCTCAATCTTACATCTACAAGTATAAATGAATAATAGTTGTAGTGAGTTATTTTCTTTTTCTCCGTTTGGAGCTATTTATTTTTATAATGTCATTACAAAATGCTTTTACTTCTGGACTCCACTTCACCTGCGCTTTGTTGGAAATTTCCAACTTGGTGTTTCACCTGCTGAACACAACAAAGAATCGCCGTGTTTTGTGACGAAATAATTGTCTTACTTACAAATTCTTCTTACCACTTATCATTTGACGGACACTTCACTGATAAGTATTAGAACTTTAAAGTAATTTAAATGATCTCAGGAATATTATTTACTGTTAATATCCGAGAGTTAAAAGACACAAAGATCTAACAGGCGTTAATAAGTATATTTAGTTTAACCGAAGAAAAGAAATAATTTTTTTCAATGTCGAATGAGTCATTTTATATTGTTTGATGTTGTTGTTGATAGTGAAGTTTTACTATAAGAGGAAGGATAACATATACTTGTTTGCTGAATAATAATAGCAGGCTTTTATTAAAATATTCAGTTCAAAAACCAGCAAACGCTTCTCTCAAACAGTAAAAGCTTTTGATTGGAAATGTTGCTGCTCGTCTGATGCATCAAGTGGATAATAAAATTTTTTCACATTCATGAAACGGCAGTTCTACGTTTTTGCTGGCCAGGTATTGCATTCAAAGTAGGGGTGGCGCTTTACCGTTTCTTTACAGGTAACGCAGTAACGCATGCGTTATTGCGTTACTGGTAACGAGTAACGCATGCGTTATTGCGTTACTGGTAACGAGTAACGCATGCGTTTATTTTTCATAGCTTTTGTAACGAGTAACGCAGCGTTATTTGCGTTACTTTAACGCTTTTTTGCGTTACTTTTCTAGTAACGCAGTACTCGTTACCAGTAACGCAATAACGCATGCGTTGCTCGTTACCAGTAACGCAATAACGCATGCGTTGCTCGTTACCAGTAACACAATAACGCATGCGTTGCTCGTTACCAGTAACACAATAACGCATGCGTTGCTCGTTACCAGTAACGCAATAACGCATGCGTTACTCGTTACCAGTAACGCATAATATAGTAACGCTTTAGTCGCATTGTGTCCGGAAGGTGATAAAACAATACATTTTCGGTTGTTCGTCATTCATACGATGATATTTGAAAGCGTTGCTTTACTCAGTAAAGTAACGCATCAGTAAAGAAAATGCGCCACCCCTAATTCAAAGACTTATCCTTACATGATCCAATAACATATAACTGCTCGCTTGGTTGAATTGTTTACATAATAATTTTATGACACGAATCGGTAACAAATCTGAAAAGCGTGAAAAAATAGTAAATTGCGTTGAAAAATTTTAAACTTTATATGCTCACCGGAAAGAACCAAAGTACTATTTGGTAATTTCTCAAATAAAGATGGCGATATTTTACTTACATTTTGTTCGACATCGACGTCATAGGTCATTTTACTTCGTCGAAAATCTAACATAAAGAGAAAAACATCGATTTTTTAACGAAGGATTAGTTTGCGAAGGTAGAATAAATTAGAGAGGGTAAGTAGAATAGTGTACGCAATTAAACGCAGGACGGTCAAAAAAGGGTTCGATATCGAACCATTTGACTGGCACTGAAACATTTTCGGCTGGAACCTTTTATCCTAAAGAAGAGAGTAGAATCAGCTGTTATAAGAATATAGGAATTCTTGAAAAATAGTCAAACTGTTTCTGCTATGAGATAATTAATTGTCGCGCGATTCACTTCATACTGAATATATCAGAGATGGGTGAGTCACCACTTTTTCGAGTCGAGGTCCGAGTCGCATCAAAAATT